GGATTACAGGATTAAGTTTGATGCCTTTCTGCCTATCCATACTGTACATGAAATGTCCCCACTGCCTCTCTTGATGGACAAGATACACTCTGCCCTGTTGAGCAGATTATCACTTCCCCTGCTTGTTGTGGGTCTTTCCTCGTGCTGTTTCATGGTACTGAAGCAGGATGGAGGGCTTCAGCCAGTCTGGGACCTAAGAAATCTTAATTCCTTTATTTTGCTTAAAAAAAGTTGCAGATGGTTACTTCACAAGGCATCATTCCTCTTATCTATTGAGTAGACTAGATAAGAGGAAGTTTGGATGTTTTGCAACAGTGGACCTAAAAGATGCATATTTTTGTATCTTCATAGCAGCATTCTACAGGCACTCCCTTTGCTTTTAGGTCAGGAGATATTCAATATTCAGTTTTACCCTTTGGACACTGTCACTCCAACAGTCTTTAAAAATGCATGTCCATGGTGTATGTTTGAAAGGAAGTTATAGTATTATGCAGCAGACCAGATATATATTGCAGACTGGATTATAAATGGATTATTATAACAAGAATACATAATCTTTTGTGGCATAAAATGTCAGTTAAGAAGGCTCTGATTTTAACAACCATGAGCTAAGAGACAGCTTAATAAAAATAGCGTGAGGAAAAAACATAGTCCTCCAATCTCCCCCTTAATGTCCCCAGTCAAAGCACATGGAAAATACTCAAAGAGCAATAACAATCTTATAACTTATCAATACTTTATTGATGAGCCAGGACAAGTTAAATCCTGGCAACAACTGAAAGATGAAGGGAAAAACATACTGTGGTTCGTTTATCATCAACTGATTTCATGACTGAAAAGGGAAGTACAACTAGGAGAAGGCACCTTAAAAGACCTGACAGAGTTTGAAAAATTGATTAGACAGCAGAATCATCATCTATTTGGAAGATTTTACAAACTGTTATTGCACTATGATACTGAAAGTCATCAAAATAAAAATATAACAATCTGGAAACAGAACCTTGGTGAAGAATATTATCAAGTCAGTGGGAAGCATTTTGGAAGAATGCTATTAAATTCACTGCTTGCTTGCTAGTTGCAAAGTCGTGTCCGACCCATCGCGACCCCATGGACAACATTCCTCCAGGACTTTCTGTCCTCCACCATCCCCTGGAGTCCACTTAAACTCACGCCAACTGCTTCAGTGACTCCATCTATCCACCTCATCCTCTGCTGTCCCCTTCTTCTTTTCCCGTCAATTGTTCCCAGCATTAGGGTCTTCTCCAGGGAGTCCTTCCTTCTCATTAGATGGCCAAAGTATTTGAGTTTCATCTTCAGCATCTGGCCTTCTAAAGAGCAGTCAGGGTTGATCTCCTCTAAGACTGATTAGTTTGATCTCCTTGCGGTCCAAGGGACTCGCAGGAATCTCTTCCAGCACCACAATTCAAAGGCCTCAATCCTTTTGCACTCAGCCTTCCTTATGGTCCAGCTTTCACAGCCATACATTGCAACTGGGAAAAGCACAGCCTTGATTATACACACTTTTTTTTGGCAGGGTGATGACTCTGCTTTTTAGTATGCTGTCTAGATTTGCCATAACTTTCCTGCAAAGGAGAAAGCATCTTTTAATTTCTTGGCTGCAGTCACATGGTGGGCATGTCATAAGTGGAGCCGGCTGTAGCCGGGGGTCAGACTAGATGGCCTGAGAGACCCCTTCTGACTCACTCTGTTTCTGTGTTTCTATGTCTGCTGTGATCTTGGAGCCCAGGAAAATAAAATCTGTCACTACCCCCATTTCTTCCCCATCTATATGCCAGGAAGTGATAGGACCAGCTGCCATGATCTTAGTTTTCTTGATGTTGAGTTTCAAGCCAACTTCTGCACTCTCCTCTTTCACCCGCATCGAGAGGCTCTTTAGTTCCTTTTTATTTTTTGCCATGAGAGTGGTATCATCTGCATAAAAGTAAACGAAGAATTTCTAGACAGAGCGGAGGATCTGCAACCGGTAAGTGTAATCTGGAAGGAAAAAGAACAACAGCAAGCTGAGGCAGCAGAAGAGAACCCTGAGGGAAGGGAAAATGAGGAAACTAGCTGGAAAAGGGTTGACTGATAGACTCAAAAGACGTACAAAACACTCTGTACACAGGGAAGCAGTGGAACTCTAGAACCGCTTCGAGTTGCTTGAGGAAGAGACATGTGAGAAACCCACTGTGAAAGAACAGTGAACAACACACTGAATAACTCTTTTTCAGGGACAAACAAACAAGGAAAAGGATAGCAAAATTTGCAATAAAAGGAGAAGAATTCTAGTCATGCGAGATTCCCTCTTGTGTGGAATGGAAAAATATGTATGTCATGATGACCCAGAGAATCACCAACTATGTTGTCTCCTCAGCACAAAGGTTAAAGAAATAACCAGCAAGTTCACATGACTCATACAACCCACTGACAAATACCCCTCCCTTCTCTTCCATGTGGGAACTAATGTCACAGCCATGAGAAGTTTCACTGAAATAACATCAGACTTCAAAGCTCTAGTCAGGAAAATAAAAAACACTGGGGCCCAGATAGTCTTCTCCTCAATCCTACCAGTACATGGAAGAGGAACTATCAGGGAAGGAAAAATCCTTCAAGTGAATGGTTGGCTATGATGGTGATGCCGTAAAGAGAGATTTGGATTCTGGGACCACAAGCTAAGCTTCCTGGAAGATGGACTACTGGCAAAAGATGGGATGCACCTCACAAGGAATGGAAAGCAGATGTTTGGCCACTACATGAAAAAATTCATCAGGAGAGCTTCAAACTAAAACCTATAGGGGAGGGAGATTTGCAGCATGGCATACCAGCACCTGGCAAAGAGTTATATATATTTCAACAGATAAAAAATCTCAAGCAGAGCCCAACACCAGTATTCAAAAAACCATAGAAAGAAAACCAGGGCACAGCAAGAATGAACTTCGATGTCTCAGAATCAATGCCCAGAGTATGGGAAACAAGCAACACGAACTTGAGCTCATAGTACATGAGGGCAATTATGATCTTGTAGGAACAACTGAAACTTGGTGGGATGACTCACATGACTGGAACTCTACAACTGAAGGATGCAAGCTAATCAAGAAAAATAGAAAGGATGAAAAGGGAGGTGGAGTTGCACTGTATGTAAGAGACACAAATATCTGCACAAAAATATAAGATGAGGATCTGAGTAGCCCCATTGAAAGCATCCGGCTAAATTTAAAGGGAGAAACAAAGAAAAGAAAAGCATAGTTATTGGCATATATTACCATCTACCCAGTCAAAAACGATAAGGATGCAACCTTCAAAAAGCAACTTGCCAGCATTTACAAGAATGATGTAGTCATCATGGGGGACTTCGCAATCGCGGCCATCTCCCCCCCACCCCCAGCACAATCGCTATCGCATGATTATCTTTTGGACTCTCCCTCCAAACAATAATCTCCCCCCGCACCTAAGTTAGTGTTCCCTACTATACTGTACTTCGTTACTTTGTTGTTCTTTGTTACTTTGTTTCAAATTTTTGTGATTAACCTTATTTACATTGAACTTTATGAGGAAATTTGACTTGGCTCATGACCAATTCAGGTTGCGACCAGAGTCGTGGAATGGATTAAGGTACCACTGTATAGAGCACAGAAAGAGTAGATTTAGCATAATTCTTAAGGGCCCTAGGATTTTCAGTGGTAAATGAGCATTGGTTTCAACTTAAAGTCACTAGTTGCATTAGCAACTAATCCCTTGAAGCCAGGCATTGACTTCTTTAGCTGTGATAGTGCTAGATGGTATCTTCTTCCAATACATGGCTGTTTTTTCTGCACTGAAAAACTTATTTAGTGAAGCCACTGTCAATAATTATCTTAGCTAGAAATTCTGGATAACTTGCTGCAGCATTTTTATCAGCACTTGCTGCTTCACCTTGCACTTTTATGTTAGGGAGACAGCTTCCTTCCTTAAACCTTATGAACCAGCCTCTGCTAGTTTCAAACTTTTCTTTTGCAGCTTCCTTACTTCTCTCAGGTTTATAGAATTCAAGAGAGTTAGGGCCTTGCTCTGGATAAGGCTTTGGCTTAAGGCATGGGTCTTCAAACTATGGCCCACGGGCCAGATCCAGCCCACCATGCTCATTGATCCAGCCCGCCTCAGCTTGGAGAAAACGATCTCTGAGCGAGTCCAAAAACTCTGAGCTGGCGCAGGTGTACTCAGTGGGGAGATAGTGCTGGGGGCGGTGGGGGGGGGGGGAGAGATGGCCGCAATCATGCCTGCCTTCCCTGCACGATCGTGCTCGGGGGAAGTGGGGAAATGGCTGCAATTGCGGGCGCACTCATGCAGAGAAGATGGGTGCGCTTGTGGTTGTGCCTGGGGGAGGGAGGGGAGATGGCCATGATCGCGGTCATGCTTGGGAGGGGAGATGGCCGCAATTGTGCCCACCTTCCCTGCACAAGCATGATCACGTCTGCCCCCCTACCGCCCACAGCATGATCGCGGATATTGTAGCTATGTCCCTTGAATATGAACATGCTCTTCCCCACCTTGGGCTTCTGCAGCAACCCAAGCTAGTGGAGCAAACATTTTTTTAAAAATTTAAAATTATTTGTTAAAATGTTAAACCTCACTGCCTGAGCCCCTGCACAGGTGGCAGTTGTGCAAGAGAGGCGAGCGGGTGCCAATTGCAGTGATTGCAGGGGAGGGGCCACAGCGGAGTGCTCTTATTGCCGGCTGTGGCCAGGCCCATCAGCCGAAGGGCGGAGGCGTTTGGGGCTGTAGGGGGCTGGGCCGGGACAGGGATGCTGTCCGTCTTCCTTCCTTTTTCTTTTCTTTGCTGTGATTGTATTTTATTTCTATTAGATTTTAATTAGGCTGGTAGTGCCTGGGGAGCATGTGGGCACCACTATTGGGGTGGTGATGGGCAGGGGAAGATATGGCGTTGTGGGTCTAACATATCAACAAAAAAGAAGGAGGGACCGATGTTTAATATCTCTCCCCTCTTCTGGTTATTCCCTCAGCCGGAATGCTTCTGGGAGCGAATCCACCGCCCCCTGGGCCTGACGGTGCTGCTATTGAATGCCAGGTCAGTTCATAATAAAACATCCCTCATCCATGATTTAGAAACATAGAAACAGAACGAGTCAGAAGGGGTCTCCTGGGCCATCTAGTCTGACTTGTGGCACCAGCCGGCTCTGCTCACGACATGCCCACCATGTGGACGTCCAGCCTATCCTTGAACACCCGCACCGATGGGGCCTCAACGACCTCCCGTGGAAGCCCATTCCACACCCTCGGGGTCCTGACTGTCAGGAAGTGCTTCCTGGCATCCAAATGGAACCTTGGCTCCCTGAGCTTTGCTCCGTTGGAGCGCGTCCTGCCTTCCTCTGCAGGGGAGAACAGGTCTCTACCCATCTCCATGTGACATCCCCTCACAGGCCTGTATGTCGCCAACAGATCCCCTCTGAGTCTCCTCTTCTCCAGGCTGAAGAGACCCAGTTCCCTCAGTCTCGCCTCATATGGCATCCCCTGCAAACCGGCCACCAACCTTGTGGCCCTACGCTGCACTGACTCCAACCTGGCTATATCCTTTCTGTAATGAGGGGCCCAAAACTGAACACAATACTCCAATTGCGGGCGCACCAGAGTCGTGTAGAGTGGTAGTAATACCTCTCTTGATCTAGAAGCCACACTTCTGGCTATGCAACCAAGGGTGGCGTTCGCACTCTTGACCACTGCATCACACTACTGACTCATGTTTAGCCTGCAGTCAACCAGTACCCTGAGGTCCCTTTCACAAGTGCTGCTCTCCAGCCACTTGTCACTTAACCTGTACTTATGACAGCTATTCCTATGCCCCAAGTGCAAAACCTTGCACTTATCTACATTGAACGCGCTCCTATTGTCTCCTGCCCACTTCCATAGTCTGTCCAGATCCTTTTGAATCTGGAGTACCTGCTCCTCAGTTGTGGCCACTGCTCCAGTTTTAGTGTCGTCTGCGAATTTGATCAGCAGACTGTTCACCCCTTCTTCCATGTCATTAATGAAAAGATTAAACAGGATTGGCCCCAGGACAGAGCCCTGGGGGACCCCGCTTGTCAGTGGCCGCTATCCCCATGATTCCCAGCTAATGGTCACCTTCTCCTTTCGGTCAGTCAACCATGCCCTAATCCACTGGACAGTGCTTTGGTGTATCCCAAAACTTCTCAGTTTCTCCACCAGGATATCAGGATATCATGGCACTTTGTCAAAGGCCTTGCTGAAATCCAGGTAGACCACATCCACTGCATCCCCTCCATCTAGCCATTTCGAAACCTTGTCATAAAATTCCACAAGGTTTGTCTGGCAGGACCTGTTTTTGCGGAAGCCGTGTTGTGTGGTTGTCAGCCTCCCTTCCCTATCTAGCATCACTAGATCTCTCGCTATTATGAGAAGTTCCGTTGTTTTTCCTGCAATGGGCGTAAGGCTAACTGGTCTATAATTCCCCATGTCCTTTCTACTACCCGTTTTGAAAATTGGTACCACTGATGCCACCCTCCAGTCCTCTGGAACTTCACCCGTTCTCCACGAGGCCTCAAAAATGGAGGCCAGAGGGCGTGAGAGAACCCCTGCCAATCTCTTAGGTACTCTCGGGTGTCACCTGTCAGGGCCTGGCGTCTTTGTATTGCCTAATGTCCTCTGAGGAGCCCCTCGACTTCAAGGGGGGTGACTCTAATCTGTGCCCCTAAGTCCCCAGCCTCAGCTAATCTCCCATGGGGATCTCTCCCTCATCCTGCTTTGGGGAGAACACAGAGGCAAAATAGTCATTTAGCATCTGTGCCTGTTCCCTCGTATCAGTCACTGGATCTCCTTCCTCCTTATTTAGTGGTCCCACCACTTGTCTCCCCTTCCTCTTCCTATTTACATGCTGAAAGAAGCCCTTTTTGTTGCTCTTGATATACTTTGCAACTCTTAGCTCATAATCAGTCTTAGCCTTGCGAAGAATCATTCTGCAACGGGCCTCCTCCTCCTGGTATACCCTTTTGTCTATTTCCTCCAGTACCCATTTCCTACAGAGGTTCCTCTTTCGTCTAATCCTTCTAACCACCTCTTAGGAGCGGCTGGTGACCCCCGGAGTGAACAAAACACTCCACTCTGTCCTTCACATGCTGGATGCATGCGCCCGGCAGGCAGCAAAGCTCCCTTGTCTCCAGGTTGGGGTGGCACACTGCCACCTCAGTGCCCCTCAGCAGGGAGTCCCCAACAACAATCACCCACCGCCGTACCTTCCCGGTGCTGGTGGGCAGCCGTGCCCTGGCCCTCGCCTCTCCTGCAGCTGCCCCCTTGCCGCCTGACGTCCCAGGCTGGGGGTCCCGCTGGTCCCCTGAGGCCTCATCAGCCCCAGCCTCCCCAAGTGGAGAGAACCTGTTTCCCAGCTCCAGATTGGTGCCAGGAGAAGGAGGAGGCTGTGCTGGCCTCCTTCTCCTGTGGTGACATCCCTCCATGTTTCCGCAGCTGCTCCTCCCGTGGTCTCTCCCTCAACCTTCTGTCCAGAGGGGGGCTGCTCCGGGGGGGCCTGGAGAGCTCTCTCGGCCCTCAGGCACCTTACCTCCTC